TTAACCAATATTTACGTCTCCTTTCGAGTGTATCATAGTCAAAATACATTCCCTATCATTTCCCAGGCTGTAAAGGAAATACGGGGAGGGACTTTTCCTTCCAAATCTGCCTGTACGGAATAGGATCTGCATTCCCTTCTAAGTTTATATAGCTGTCTATAATAGGATTTGACTATGAAGATCCCGCTTTTCTGTCAAACACCACACAGGGGTATCACTACTGTCATCTAGAGAAATGTTGGCCAGAATTCTGAGCAGCCGATCATATTCCCCCAATCTCCTAGTTATTCAAATTTCTTTGCTCTGAAATCTGCCACTCGCTGATACCTCCCCTCATCTCAACTGCATCACAAATCATGACTTCTTTATGTTGAATAAGAATTTTACGCTCTCCCTTAACAAGCCCAAACTATTATTAACAAAAGAATAGATGATGTAGTACAGGTACCAGAAAATAATCTTGTCCTATATACTAGTTTAGAATAGAGGACGTTTATGTGAGAAACAGAAGAATATAGACATGAGAAAGGAAATTAGGGAGCAAGGTGAGGAAATACAGGGAGAAAAAGAATGAACTAGATAGGTTAGATAGAATAACAACCACAAAAACAAACACAAAGAAAGATGATAGTAAATTAAATACTAAGAAAAAAAAATTTCTTAATTCATCATTGTCTCCTCCTTTTTCGTTCGTGACCACTAGCTTTTTAATAGGCATTAGTTACAATGAAAAGGAAAATTATAAAAGAGGAAATCTTAAAAATTCTTATTCCTACAATATCATAATCTCCCTAAGAGGAAACTGAAATATTTCAATATTTCAACCAGTAAGGAAATATAAAAGAGGAAGCTTCAAACATTCTATTCTTATAATATTTAAAATCTATCTAAAAAAAAATTAAGATATTATAATGTCTAAATAAAGCTAAATAACCTAAGTAAGTTAAAAATAACAAAATAATAATAATTGCAAAAGATTTCTTTAATAGAAAATTGATTCTAAATTGAGATCTTCTTGTTTTGCATCATTTTACACTACTTGGTGAGAGCTCGATCTCGAGTTTTGGAGTGGCAGAGCATTAAGATAGGAAAAGTTCAAACATGTTCATAAAATCTTTAATTATTTTGATAATCTTCAAACAAAAATAGGTCTTTCAAGAAAAAATAGTAGTATGGTATGATTCATTTACATGCATCAATGTGTGTAAGTCCATGTGGAAAGATATTTACATATGATCAAAATATGTATAAGATTCCCAAAATCTTCAAATGACCCATAATCAAAAAACCTATTGTCGGTAACCATCTATCTTTTACCCTATCAGAATCATCTTCCACAGCCTCAAAACCTCTCTTGTTTCTTTGTCTCCATCGCCCAAAAGGTAGCAAAGGGAATGAGATTAACATGTTTCTTCACTCCACTAATGCCCTTCCACGCCCAAATTTCTTCCTTCACCAAACTATCTATCACTCCACTTATTCAAATTTCTTCACAATGCACATCCTAATCTAGGTACACCACTTGAAACTGAAATCCAACCTACCTAACATGTTTCTTCTCTCCACTAATTCCCTTCCAAGACCAAATATCTTCCCTCACCGAACTAGTCATCACTCCACTTATGCAACTTTCTTCACAATGCACGTCCTAATCCAGGTACGCCACGTTGAAACCCAACATGTCTAGTATATATAGGAGAAATTTCTTGTATATGCTTAACATCAAGTGTGTTTTGCTTTGCTTTGAGGCAATATCAGACCTCAAGATTAAATCTAAGCTTCTAATACTAGGAGAAAATAGGGATGCAATTCAAAAGGCTCAATCCTGAGATACAAAAATGTAAATCTTCCTATAAAGTATTTGAGAATACCTTTGGGAGCTAAATTCAAGCAATATTTGGGACCCAGTGGTGAGCAAATTTAAGTGTAAGTTAGCTAGGTGGAAGAGATGTTTGTTATTTAAAGGCAATAGATTGACACTCCTGAAAAGCAAATTAGCAAGTATCCCCATTTATCTCCAACTTGTCAATTATCCCCTCCTTGGTGGGTAAAAGAATAGAGAACATCCAATATAATTTTTTATGGGGTGACACAATGGGAAAAAGAAAATGTCATTTTTTGCATGGGACATGGTGAAACGGCCTTTTCATAAAGGAGGCTTGGGTTTGAGATTGCTTCTTGGGTTTAATAAAGTATTACAAGGAAAGTGGCTATGGAGATTTATGGGGGAAAAAGAAAGTTTCTAGTGGAAAGTTATAGCAGTGAAACATGGGGGTGGAAGGAATGGGATGGTTTTCTTAATTCCCGAGGATATCTCATGGAGTGGGATTATGGGAAGAAATAC